AGGGCTAGGTTTATGGTAAGTTATCCTTTTGCAGATATGAGAAGATTTAAATTTGAAGCTATGACTACAAGTAGTGGTGATATTGGTGTTGTTACATGGTTTGTGGATTTAGATGGAATTACGTCTTATGACATAAGATACGACGGATTTAAGGGGGACAGCGAATACACATCATACCTCACATCAATGAAACCCAAGGTGGTGGGACCTCCCCTGAAACCAAAAGGATGGCCACATCTTTGGAATAGTAATGGCACCGTTCAGGAATACAAACCTCTTGTATTTCCAAAGGATCCTATTTACGATGAAAGAAAGTTGGGGCCTAGTATGGTTCTAATTCATGATGACGGTTATCATATTAACACGTATCGACCTCCTGTAAGTCTTCCCTACAACTTTAACAACTTTAAGATCTATGTAAATGAAAACAGTTATTTCATGTCTAACTTCCCTAATGCTGGTGTAGGTTGGGATGAAGGTCCTAATTTAACAAATAAGAATGTAAGAAAAGTTTCCTTTAATACGATACCATACACTAGAATGTTGTCTGGCGCTTATATAGCTAGCTATCTCAGCGGTGTATCCTTAGAACACGTTCGTGAAAGTAATTCCGTTCCTAAAATAATAACATCCATTATGAGGTATCATCTTTACTACACAACTAGAAATTTAACAGTTAGTAAGGATGCTATTGATAAACTTGGTGTTAACCTTGATATTGTAAGGAAACACATTCCAATAAATCAGAATTATATTATTGACGGAAGTGGTGCTACAACTAGTGCAGGACCTTTGTCTGGCAGTGATTACCTTTCATTCATAGTTGAAAAAAGTAATGGCTTTACTAAGTTAGGAGTTGAGCTTATTCAGGAAAGCATTGAGTCCTATGTTTATGCTATTCTGGGATCTCAAGCTAATACAAGGTGGTCAATAGAAGGAAACGGTCCAAAGGCTCTTCAAACACAACGTGACTTTAGAACTATTGTGAAGTCTACTATTTTACAAAGTAATACGGTAACAACAATTAGCAATATGAGGAAAGCTGTGAGGGACACCAATGTGATTCTAAACACTGCTCTATCCCCTGGAATAGTTTTAATCCCATCGAACTTTATTATTCTAAAAACTCCGATACTCGGTTATAATAACCTTCTAAAGACGGCAACTAATACAATGAAATTTGGGGTGAATCCTAAGGTAAATTATGTCGGTGTTAAGCAAGTTGATCCTCCAAAGAAACAGCGTCAAAATAGCACACCAGTTCACCACCTTGATACTCTTAGTGGAAACGTGAAAGCTCCTGTAAGCCCTGTAAATACTACACCTCAGGTTGTTCCTATCACAAGGCGTAAGGTGGTTAGTACCCGTGAGTCCTTAGGTGATGGTGCTTTAGCTGGACTTGGTATCGGGTCTGTTGCTGTGTTTCTTATATTGAGAACTGTTCTGTGAAACATTGTGTATGTTATAAAAATGGTTCTCTATAGAGGATACAACAAAGGAGTAAATAAAGTTGATCCATCAGGTGGTAGTGTGTTTGATAAGGACGGATTTACCATGAAGGGTGACATTGAGATGGACGGTAATGAGGTAAAGGGTTTAGGTGCTCCTACAGATGATACGTCTGCGGTCACAAAAAAGTGGGTGGATGATGAGATCATTAAACAGGCTTCTATTACAATTCAACCAGCAGGGTTTACAATGACTGGGGATATTGACATGGGAGGTAATAAGATAACTAATTTTGATAATCCTACTAATCCAGGTGACGCTGCTAGTAAGAGTTGGGTGAAGGTGGTCGTAGACATGTACATGCTAGTCTACCCGGTCTTACCCTTACAAATGATCTCAATATGTCAACAAATGAAATAAAGGCTTTGGGTGATCCTACAACTGGAAAGTCTGCTGTTAGTAAGGATTGGGTAGTTGGAATGCTAAATAGACCTGTAACTGGACTTGATATTGCTGGTGATATTGACATGAAGAACCATGAGATTAAGAATCTTAAGGATCCTTCTGAGGATAAGTCCGCCGTTAGCAAGGGATGGTTTAAATCAAACACCAGCAACTTCCTTAAGCTGTCTGGGGGTAATAATCAGTTTATCCGAGGTAGTGTTCTATTTGATGAAGTTCCACATACCAGTAAGGATGCCTATACTTCTAGCGGTCTAATAAGAAAAGGCCTTCTGAATAAAAGGCTGGCCTATTACGTTCATCGTAACGGTTTAAATACAATGACAGGTAATCTTAAAATGAATGGACATGAAATAGTAAATGTTGGCGATCCCACCACCGATCAGTCTGCTGTTACAAAGTCATGGTTTAAATCAAACGATAACACGTACCTAAGGCTGGATGGAACTGGAACCCGTAAGGTTTCGGGAACCGTTGACTTTGTAAACATACCGTCATGCGTTAACGATTGTAGCAGCTTACGTTCCCTAGTAAGAAAGGACTACCTAGTCAACGCGCTCGACTACTACCTACATCTCACCGGTAGTCGAGCAATGACCGGCGACCTTAAAATGGGTGGAAATGAGATTAAAAATGTTGGAGCTCCCAGTGCTGATGCATCTGCTGTTAACAAAAAGTGGGTAGAAGATAAAATTAGCAGTGGTAGGAAAAGGCGAGAAACCTACATTGGATTGACCCTATCTGACGACCTTGATATGGGCAACAATAAAATATTAAAGTTAGGTGCTCCCACAACTGATAATTCTGCTGTGTCTAAAAAATGGGTCACGGACCACGTTAGTGGAAGTTCTATTAGCAGTAGTGGGTTTACTATGACAGGTAATATTGACATGGGTGGGTATAGTATTACGGGTCTCAAAGGTGGATCGGTTGGAGATACCGGTGCACTTTCCGCTAATACTATATACTCCCGGTGTAAACAGTTCCTGAAGCGTAATGGTGGTACTCTAGATAGTGATCTTGATGTTAACGACTATGAGTTAACTAGGGTAGGTAATCCAACAACTGACGGTTCTGCTGTAAATAAGAAATGGGCAACTGATGAGTTCATGAGTAGTAGAGGTGGACTGGTAAAGGGTGATCTGGATATGGGAGATTCAAGCGGCATTCTTGATCTAAAGGATCCGGTAAATGATAAGGATGCAGTTAACAAGCAATGGGTGGAAAATAATTTCCTAAAATCTTCCTCAGGCCTTGTCCAAGTAACAGCTGATGTTAGATATGTAAGAAAAATCACCATATCTACTCAGAGTGGATCTGGGGATATCGTGGTGTATCAGTTGCAGCAACAAGGTACTATGCTTACTGTCAAGATCAGATTCCACCTTCATGGAGAACAGATACTATTAATAATATGACAGACCTCAACCTTGAGTCAATTACTATTAAATCAGATTACCCACTTCTTTCAACTGTTACTAACATACTCCTAGGACTCATCCTGTGGGCTACTGTATGGGAAAAGCAGTCTAATGGAAAATTTACACAAGCTAAAAAGGAAATCGTCCTCAGCACAATCGACTTAAGAAGGCTATCACACACTTACTTCAACGGAACTTACACAAGTAATGGTGGAAGTACAGCTTGCTATGTCTTCAAGGGTAATAGTATCTTCTATTTAGGAAACCAGACTGAGTTGGTAGATAACACGCTAGCCTGGTGTATTATAGTTAAACCGGAACACTCAATGCCAACTGGTTCGAGTATGGACTTGTCTTTTTGCTGGTCATTGCGGTATTCAGGGTCAGGTGTATAACATGTGTTGTATCATAAAGTATCATGTCAAAGTGGCGCTCATGCTTCTCCTGTTTGGGTAATATCTGTGGCTGTCGTAGGAGGTCTAATAAAAATGGGAAGGTTGGTGATATAAATTTCTCTGTATCCAATGATATTAAGGTTGAAGTGACCACACAGGGTGAAAAGGATAATGCCAACAGTGCATCCGGACTACAAGGGCCCCCTGCCTTGTGTACCCCCAAGGAGAAAATAAAAGTTGCCGAAGAGGCTTTAGAATAGTAAAATTGGACGATATTGGAGAAATCTAGAGGTTTGAGGGTTTGGGAATCCCTGGTATTTCGATAGAAGAGAACGGTGAATAGTTGGAATCTGAGTGTGACAACTAAAATAGGTATTGTGGAGGATGTAGGAAGTATTAATCAGTGCTCAGAATTAGTATCTGACGGTTCTGTGGAGGGGGGGGGGTGTTACCTCAAGGGTATTTTAAAAGTTGTCGAAAAGGCTTTGGAATAGGAAAACTGGACGGTATCAGAAAAGCCTAGAATCATACTAAAGCCTCAGCTGGACTGATAAGGTGATCCCGAAGCTTTGAGATAAGTTAAATGAAAAACATTCCGGACAGACCTCAGAATAGTAGTTTCACATTCCAAAATAAATGGACCGTGGTTCGGGAACCCACTCATTGAGGAGCGGGATCATTAATTTTAATATAACAAAAATAAATTATTAATATAATAAAAATAAATGATTAATTTTAATATAATAAAAATAAATTATTAATTTTGCCAAAGGTAAAAAAATCAGTGGTCTCGCTCCGAAACTAGTGGTCTCGATACGGCAGTTCCTATACTACTGCCTACCCTACCTCTGTCTCACTGTTGGTCACTTCAGTGATAATCTTGTCTTTTGACATCAAATATATTCGCGCTTTTGAGAGCTTGCAACATTGAAAATACCCTAGTATGGTAAAAGGGTTTTCGATTCCATCGTTATCTCTTAAGACATCCACTTTCTCCATTTTAAAGTTTGCAAGGTCAAAACCATGTCATTTGCAAAATTAACCAAACTTAGACTGTCCGTTTTCAAAAAAGATACCAATGGCTGCTTGCAGAACAATGTCTTTAGTGTATGCAGCAGGAAAATCCATATTTCTAGTTCCTCCCCCCATAATTGCCCGCGTACATGATCGATTGTAACGATCTTCCTTCTTATTATAATGTAGCCATCCAAGCTAAATTCATCTTGTTTTCTCCTTCATTGGTACAGAAGATTCCGTAACAACATTTTTGTTTTCAGTTTTTAGTATTAGTCTCTGCAATGTTTTGCTTCGGCCTAGTTTTCTCTCGAGTTTTCTTGCCAGACTGCAAAATAGCCATCAGCTTTCGCTTTTGTTCTTGTTTACAGCTTTCAGGAGTCGGCGTTAATGATCCTGAGGGCGTGCTTGAAGAGTTCCATCCTTGGCAATATGAGCACAAAGCACAGATATCTCCTTTTATAGCGCACATGCAAGCCAAGATCTTCCAATAGTTTATCGTCAGCACCGCATATAACATCTGCGTCCATCTAGAATAATGTTTCAACATTAATATAAAAATTGTACGTAATATAATGATATCCATCTGTAATATGTAAAGCCTGGCCCTGGTTTACAACTGTGTTCATTTGTCCTGAATTCTCGCATTTGCCTGAGAATAGGTCACAATTATTTAAGCTTTATATGACAAACAAAATCTCGATACAGTTTTCAAAGATTTCGGTGCACAACAGTTTGACACATACAAACTTCGTATTTTTTTTAGTTTTAAGCAATAAATATCGGCGTCTTAATGTATTTCAATATATTAATTTCTCTTTCATATGATGTTAATTTTAGTAACACATGGTTTGTTGCTACTGGCAACACACGCGTTGTAAATTCACTCTATAAAAACAGCATATTCCTCCCTGTAGTTCGAAAATACGCACGGTGACCCCCAATTTTTTTTCGTGCATCATTTTACTTAGAACATATAGACTAATATTAATAGGCAAAAAATAAAAAATTCTATAGAGTCAAAAAAATTCGTATAATGAGAGACTTTTGTAGTACAATACAGTACGCAAAATTTCAACATAGGTCACCGTACGAAATAACGAGATATATAGTAGTCGGCCGGCCAAGGTGGCAAAAAGTGCCTCTAAAGAGAGTTGATGGCAACTTTATGTTAGAATCTGGTAACCAGTGGTGCCTAAATTACTTTGAATTTGTACTCGAGTAAAAGTAGAAGTAATTAACAATAAAACGACTTGAGTAAGAGTAAAAAGTACTGGAAGCAAAACGTACATCAAGTAAAAAGTACAAAGTGTCCTTAAAAAATACTTGAAGTACAAAGTAAAAGTTTACTTTGTTACATGCTCACTTCTGAAAAAGTGAAAATTAGTACTCAAGTACAGTAGCGAAGTACATTTAGTTCGTTACTTGACACCACTGCTGGTAACAGGCATTTTCTTATAGTTTAAGCCTTGGTAAACAAGACTGTGAGTTACCACTTCTGATTTTTGCTTTATAGCCGAAAATTTGAGAATTTTTAAATTTTGCCTATTAAATTACTATGATGGCAAAAAATGTAAAATAATATCATGTTCTCTTATACGAAAGATAAACTATACCACTAAAAAGAGCGCAAAAAACTATATATATAAGATAATTAAGCGGCCATGCGATTTTTAAGCCTGTTTTGAAATAAAGATGGTTAAAGTTGGCAAAATGGTACTTATTAGCGCTAATTTGGTCATTTCTGCATCTTTTAGCATTAGAAACTCGAAATAGGATTCGAAAAACGTAGAACTTGCTTAATTGTCTTATATATATTTTTTTGCGCTCTTTCTAGTGGTGTAGTTTATTTTTCGTATAAGAGAACATGATATTTTACATTTTTTGCCATCATAGTAATTTAATAGGCAAAATTTTAAAATTCTCAAATTTTCGGCTATAAAGCAAAAATCAAAAGTGGACCTATAGGGCACAACAAATCATTACATGCATGCTTATTTCTATGATTAATTGATTACTATGAATATAAAATTGTAATTGTATTATTATAATAATGCTGTATATGTATTCGCAAAATTCACTACTCTATAATAATAATTTGACTTTGAACTGGTTTACTTAATTAACAGTTAAAAAACAAATTGTAAATATATTTCTAGGGGTCTAAGCAAAAAAGCCAAATGGTTTCAAATAGACTCCTAGCCCTCTTCTTTTATTGGGCAAAATCAAATAAATAAAAAATAAATAAAAAAATAACAGGCTATATGTGTTTCATGGCCCATCATTTGCACAATAAACAAATTGATGCCCCACCCAAACTGATGAAAATAATTTCATGGTCCACCCTAGTCAGCGAGCAACAGTACTTTTGAGTCGGCGTTAGCCACTGTGTTCACACTGGCCTTATAATGCGTGCTGGTGCCGTAAGTGTAGAACAGTTGGTAGAACAGTTGGTAGAACAGGCTTTAAATAACACTTACATGTATATTTATGCCAGGCTAGACATGGGTAAACGAGCAATATATATAGTAAACAAACCGAAGGCTCCAAGTCACAAACGTTTAAGGATTTTAAAACGTCCGTAGACAGACAACATATATATATATTTATATTTATAAGTCGCTATCGCGCGCCATAGGTTTCGATCGCGTATTATAATTGGCGATCGCGCTTATCTACCGCACGCAACTGCAATAATACAATACAATACAATACAATACAATACAATACAATACAATACAATACAATACAATACAATACAATACAATACAATACAATACAATACCAATACCATTACCAATACCAATACCAATACAATACAATACAACTCTATTTCACTCTTAGATAGAAAATATACATAAATAATTACAATTCTTAAATAATTGATACATAGATAGAATTTATATATTTTGAATAACATTTTTAGAGCTTGGAAGCTAAGTGAACCGTTAGGTTTTCTAGTTTAATAGCAGTCTGCTTCCATTGATTTTTATTCTTATTAGATTAATATAGATTATAATGTCAGACAACTGAAGAAAATATTTTAATTTTCCATTAGTTTATGTTAATAGAAAAGCTGAAGAATATATAATATAATAAAAAAAGATAGATAGAAAGATAGTTTAATAGATTTTACATGGCAGCCGAATTGGCTGAATTGCGTAAAATTAACAAAACTTACATATTACAAGCAAATTAAAAACAACACATACACAATTACATATTACTGAATGTAATAGTATTACATATTATATGACATCAGCGCAAATTCAGATATGTCCCCACCACCACCACCGCTAAAATAGAGATCAACCAAAGTTGTAAGCACAGCTAGAAAGACCCAAAAACAAGTATAAAAGCAAATGGTTGACGCGAGGCAACGGCAATGGTGGTGGAAGTCATATCAGAACCCCACCAATATCCTGTAGTCGTGTAGTCGGACAGTCAAAAGGTCGCTGTCTTCTCAGATTATATGCTGAGATATTCTTGGGTGGCAGAAGATGGTGAAGTTTGTGGTCGGTATCAGATATATATAACTGATTGAAATAGTTTCTTACACAGTTTTAGCCGCCTGTCTCTCAAGGAACTTATATTCAATTTCATAAGATTGTCCGTATATGATAACCCCGGGGATATTATGGACAGCGCACGCTTTTGAATGCGCTCAAGGTCATCACATAAATATGCAGGGAGAGCATGATGGAAAACATGCAGGAGCACAATACTCGAGAACCGGTCTAATAACAGTGCAGTAAAAATTGACAATATCACGAGCAGGGACGTTAGCACGCTTGAGCAAGATCAAGAAATACAAACCGGTTTATTCGCTTTCTTGATTACTTCGTTTACATGGTCAACCCATTGGAGTGAACTGGATATGATAACTCCCAACACCTTGGCACTGCTAACCAGTTCGAGTTCTTTGGAGTTGATTGTGATTGCGTCAAACTGTTGTTTCTGTCTCTTGAAGTCAATGACCATTTCTTTACACTTGTCAGCATTCAGTTGGAGCTTGTTGACATTAGACCACCTCTCGACATCAGTAACGGCGTTCTGGATAAAGGTTTTGCCATTCCGTGGAACAACTTCAGCTAACGTGGTGTCATCTACATACTTCCAAGCATGTGCTTCAGATGGATTGAGGTCATTGATCATCAACAGGAACAACCAGGGTCCTAGCTTAGTTCCCTGAGGGACACCAGATGGAACAGCACCCCATTCAGAGAAACAATCATTTGACAACTTTACACGTTGGAATCTGTTTGATAGGAAATCACACACCCACCGAGCTACACCACATGGTATTCGAAGGGAAAGGACTTTGTCAACTAGAATGCGGTGGTCGATCAGATCAAAGGCTTTTTTATAGTCTAGCAATATGATCCTCACTGCTGCACCTGTTCCATCTGTGGCAGAAGTCCACGCATGCATCATGGATACAAGAGCCTGAGTAGTAGACGACTTCGGGATGGCACCAAATTGATTGGGATCGATGATTTCAAGAACAGCAGGTCCAACATAATTCATAACGATAAAGTCCTCAGCTAACTTCGATAGAGCTGATGTTAGCGAGATGGGTCTTATATGTTTAGCAATAATTGAAACCGGTTTCGTCTTAGACAGTGGTGTGATATTGGCATATTTCCATGATGCTGGAAGCGCTTATTCCTCAAATGAACTGTTTAAGATGTTACAAACAGGGTTTGCAAGAAATTCTGCATATTCTTTAAGTAGCCAGTTAGGCACCTCGTCTGGACCACACGCTTTGCGGGGGTTTAACATTAGTAATCTCGAATACACAGAATAAACATCAAGCTTTAATACCTCGGATTTTTCGTCGAATGGAGGAAGACAGGCAAGTGGTCGGTATGCTTGCATGGGTTCGAGGAGAGAGGTGTTAATAAGGTCTGCTACATACTTATTTGACTTTCCATCAATGCCACCAATGTGAAGCTGCGAGCGAATATCAACATTCGACGTTGCAGGGACCATCCCCGAGATCTTTTTAACCTCGTTCCACCACATGCTCGGTTTGGTATTTTTCAGGTTCGCAACTCTAGTGTTGTAATACCGGCTGCGAAGCTTCTTTCGCTCACGATTAACCACATTACGAAGCTGTCGATATCTGACTTGAGCACCTTCAGCGTAGGCTTTCTGGCGTTGTTTGATCAAACTTTTGAATTCAGGGGTGACCCAGGGAGCGTCGTTGACGTGTAGTTTAACAGACTTTAGGGCATGAGAATATCGACACCAGTTTTAATCAGATCTTCAAAAAGTAGTAACTTGTTTTCACATCCAGTGATGGAATCAACAACCGACCAGTCAATCGAGCTAAGATACCTCCCGAGTTCAAGTCTTCGGCTCAATCGAGTATCCCTGCGAGTCACGAAACGACGGCTGCAACTTCGTACGGTTCTTGATTT